CTCCCCGCCCCTGCAGGCAGACACCTGGCCCTGGGGGTGGTTTTCGGGTGGGCGGGGCCTGGCTTGGCTGAGCAGTGAACTCTGACTGTGTTATCACAACATCAGTGTTCTCTTCCTTCTTCCCAGCCCTCCAGGACAAACCAACCCCAGTAACTTACCGGCATTTTTCTTGCCAACAGTCAGGTGGTCGTTGCTATAAATAGGAACAGAGGAGTCGCCTGAATTCCAGGACAGAGAGGCATTAACTGGCATAAAGGTCCAAACAACCCCCAGTTGTGGGGAAACAGGTAACCTGCTGTGGACGGAAGGGGCCACATGCTGACCTGACAAGCTCAGGGGAGGCCTGCATGGCAGTCTTGCAAACTCAGAGACCTAAAGTCACCACAAAGGATGGTCTGAAATTAAACTTTAACTAAAGCAGTTATGGTGGGCAGTTAAGTCCTAGGCCAGTATCTTCACTGACAAGGTCAACCTTTACCTTAACTGAGCCTATCTGTCTTTTTGCATCTAAGATAACATATCCTTGGGATGTCTGGGTAACTTGTGACTTCCCTTTTTATGGAGCCCCTGGGTCCCAGGACAGATACCACAAATTCCTTCATCATCATGTTAATTGTTCCTGCACCCACCTAAGTATGTGTCCATCATTTTACTTTTTATCCTATCACAGAGGTTTCCCCGCTTCGCTTAATCCCACCTCCTTAAATCTGTCACCAATGAATTTCATGTATAAATACGGATGCAACCCTGCCATTCTCTGGAGCACTATCTCAATTCGTTGAAGTTCTGCATATGTCGACAGTTTGGCTCAAATAAACTCACAAAATTCTTTACAGGTTTCAATGGTTTTTTACGTTAACACCGCCCTCCTTACGTGGCTCCCCTCTGCCCTGCGTGCCGCTCAGGAGGAGCACGGGGTGAGTGACGGGAGGAGAAACCAGCAAGCCCCCTCCCACAGGGCGGGGTCGGCCACTGCGACCCCTGATGCCTCCACATCACTTGCCACGGCCACAGCCACGGCCACGGCCACATGGGAGTGAGTGGGGCAGTGCCTTCCTCAGTTTAAGGCCAGGGGCCAGGACCCACGGGCTGCTCTCAGGGCTTCTCTGTGGCCGCTCTGATCCCTGACTTGAGCTCCCCTTGTGGGCCCCGCGCCTAGAGAAGCTACCTGCCTCTCTGTGCTTGGAAAAGCCTAGAGACCGAGCCCCAGGGCTTCCTCCGAGAGACGGCCTTCCCTGGGGCATTCCCACCTAAGGCAGGCGGAGCGACCACCCCTTCTATCCATTGATCTTTACAACAGTCCTCATTTGGTTGAGCGTCGACCTATAAACCAGGAGGTCAGGGTTCAATTCCTGCTCAGGGCACATGCCCCAGTTGTGCTCGATCCCCAGTGGGAGGCGAGCAGGAGGCAGCGCATCAATGATTCCCTCTCATCATTGATATTTCCATCTCCTTCTCCCTCTCCCTCTCCCTTCTTCTCTGAAATCAATAAAATATATATTTAAAAATAATAAATAATAAGAAGAAGACTCATAAGAGAATATGTTTGGATCTCAAACCTCTTAACTTGCATTTGAAACTAATGACATTTTCAGATAAGATTTTTCTAAAGTTTTAAAAATGTTACGGTTAAAATATTGCCAATGAGCATGAAGTTCTTTTGATGTGCCTGGAAACGGATATTGTAGACACGGACATTTTAAAAATATGTGGTAGATGAGATTAAATGTTCTTTGGGGTGAGGACTAATTCAGAACAATCCTTTATAAGGAAAAACGAAAAGCCTCTGAGTTGATTTTCAAGTTACCTTTTATTACTCATGTAATTGTGCGTTTCAGCATCTCTCGGTTACAGGGTCTGGGATACACACAGGGGCAACTGCCCAGCTCACCAGCAGGAACACGGTCTCTCTCTAACGAAAAAGTGTGGACCATGTAGCTACTCCTACGGTGACTAGAAATCAAATGTGAACATCGACTTCCTCTTCAAAAGCAAGCATGCCTGCCGTTCCTCTCCCAGGCTGATAGCTGAGCCTCCGTGATTGCATAATTGTACCCAATGTTCTAATTCATTAATCCGTACACATGCCTTTTCCCATGTGAGTTACGGCGCCGGAACGTAAAACAAACCCATTCAGAGATACGTGGACTAGAGTGGTGCCCTCATGAAACCCAGAATCCTGGACAACATTGGAATAATCTGAACGAACACGTCACACGCACGCGGTGATCGGATATTGAACCCCAAGGCAGCGGAACGGCGCTGGGTCCGGTGGCTGAGCCTGGCGCCCTGTACTTTCAGGGGATGCGCTTTATTCCACGGGAAACGGTGTCCCTGCCGGCAGCGAGAAGGGTATTCCTCGTGTGGGCTGCACTTGGGCGCGGCTCCCTGGGTGGGGAGGGGGGGCGCTGCTGCAGGGGGCAGGTGTCTGGGCGGGGGGGCTCCCTCTCACAGGCCCAGCCCTCGGGGGCACGTGGCCTGCCTCAAACGTCAGCTGAGCTGAGCAACCCGCTTCTCGCTTTTTCAGTCCACTGTGGGAGGGTGTGACGGGGACACATTTGCTTTTCAGAGTGATTCCTGCAAAGCATGACTTGAAACACTGATGTGTCATAAGCGCCCGAGACGTGCGCTGCCGGAGGGAGTGAAACGGACACCCTCCCTGCCCGGCGTGTCCTTTCCTGGTGTCTGGGGCAATCGGGCAGCTTAGTACCTGGGCACTTTGATCTAGTTCCTGCCGAGAGCTGGGGGCTGTGTTATAAGAAAACATTTGTTTAAAATGTCTGCCCAGCCTGTCTGGCTCATTGGTTTAGCGTCGACCCAGGAACCAAGAGGTCACCAGGTTCGATTCCTGGTCAGGGCACAATGCCTGGGTTGCGGGCTTGACACCCAGCAGGGGGCGTGCAGGAGGCAACAGATTGGTGACGTTTCTCTCTCATGGATGTTTCTCTCTCTCTCTATCCCTCTCCCTTCCTTTCTCTCTAAAAAAAAATAAAATGCATTTAAAAATAATAATAACGTAAAGTCTATTTTTTAAAAACACACCTACTTCTCTCTATTTTGTGCAGTGAAAGCTTTAGTGACTTCTATCATGTATATCAACGCCTGGAACTAGAGTGTGTCGACTCCTAGGAGAAATGGAAGTAACTTCTACAACTGATGGAAGAAAGCAATGCGATATGATCTCATCCCATCAGGCAGTCTTTCCCGCTAAAGCAGCCACATCTCTTAGAACACTGCCGTCTAGAACGATTCAGCCAGGATAGCGTGTGAAGCGGATATGCATTTTACGTGGGGGGTTCTCGAGAATTTGCTCACGCGGACTAATCAATATGCCAGGCATTCTTTTCAAAGATGCCAGAGCAACTCTTAGGGATCAATAATGACATAATTTGAGACAATTAACACTGTATCCGTCTAAGACAATTTAACAATATAACCTTAGGAAACTTCCTTCTCTTCTCCATAAATAAAGACGGTGGGTGCATCATAATAGAGTGTACGGTGATTTCTTCAAATTTGTCTTCTTCTACTTCCGGGCGTCACTTGTGCCCTGGAAACATACTTTAAAGTTTTATTCTGTGAGAGACACCATCATAATGGTAAGTCCAAGAGTTAAAAAGTAAAACAAGCCGGCGTGGCCTGGCTCAGCGGTTGAGTGTCGACCCACGAACCAGGTCAGGGCACATGCCCGGGTTGGGGGCTCGATCCCCAGTAGAGGGTGTGCAGGAGGCAGCTGATCAATGAGTCTCTCTCATCACTGATGTTTCTCTCTCTCTCTCTCTCTCTCTCTCTCTCTCTCTCCCTCTTCCTTCCTCTCTGAAATCAATAAAAATATATGTTTAAAAAAGTAAAACAAAGCAAAATAATCCTTTAAAGTACCTAAGAACGTTTTCAATGCTTGACATGTTTTTTGTTCTGAAATGGCCTCAGGTCTTGCTTCTGATGGGAAATACTTGGCGTGCCCCTGTGGCCGGTGCCTGTGGGCTGAGCAGAGAGGAGCCGGCGTGCATGGTCTCGTGTCGGGCTAACAAGGCGCGGGCCAGGGAGCCAGCCGGGCAGCTGCCTGCCTCCTGGGAACAGCCTAGTGACAGCTTCGTAAAGAAACACCGTTTCCTATAACTAAAGAGATGGTCACCACCTCGATTGCATAACGCCGGACCCATCCCTCCACCACTTCCTTAAATCCACCAGCAGTTTTCTCATTCGCGTCGACCTCACTCCACGTACCACGTAGCACAGAACCTGCCACCCAACCATTCCTCGGACCTTTGTAAGACGGGCAGTACCACCGACGACCTCATTCTCTTCTGGGGCTCAGCCCATGTCTATAGGATGAGCAGCAAACATGCATAATGAACACACCAGAGCTCATTCTACCAACGAGAGAAGCTTTGCGTGTCAGAGCTGGTGAGGACATGAGACTAGACCACCTGACCAGCGGGGGCACCTGAACCCCGGTGCACCCGGTCTCAGGCCGCTGGCTGTAGCTGGATTAAAGGCAACCCCCCTCCCCATACCTAAGCCTTTCTATTCCCCACACGTGACACCGTTCACCTCAAATGTCCTTCTGCAACATGTAACTGTCTTCCTCTCAGGCAGCTCTTTCTTTCTGAGAATGCCGTTGTGGCCACTCTACAAAATCATCTGAATTTTATTCGATTTTTTGAAACGTTTCTGTGAAAGGCTTCAAATAACACCCAGGGGCTCGTGGTGAATGTAGCCCTCACTGCCCGGCTCTGCTGAGAGCTTCCCACGTTACAGTCCCTGGCGTTGCTGCTCGCCGCCGTGGGCGCCGTGTCTCACGCGCTCCTGCCTGGACCGGGCCACACAGAGGAAAGCGCTTCCTCCGTGGTACCCGAGGGGCTTCGGGTGCGAGACTCCCTGCTCCCCGTGGCAGATGTGGGATTACAGTGATGAGTGAGATGCCAGCCAGCATGTCCACACTGGGAATGGATTTTTCTCTTCAAAGAGGTTCTGTGCGTCAGCAGACACGGGCCTGATCTGTGCTCATGCGTGCACGTACACACACACCCACCCTCAGGTGACTTCAAGAACACGCTAAGACCAAAGTGAATCTAAAGCTACTGCAGGCGTCAGAGGCCCTGCAGAGGACATCGCTGAAAGCGACCGTGATGGGGCCCGCGACCCACCTTCTGCCTCATGTGGGGCGTCTCCACCCCCTGGGGTAGGGGTTGTAGTTGCCCTCGGCTGCCGACAGGCAGTACTCAGACCGGGTCTCCAGGGATGTCATCCAAGAATCATTCCTGGAAGGCTGCCTGTAAGAGGCATGCAGCCACTGGGAGTGGGTGGGGACACTACTGTTGGGGAGGGGTGCCCCGTGATACTCTCGGCTCCCGCACAGGCCCACACTGGCCATCGGGGCCTGCGGGGCATGGGGCAGCCCGTCACCCCACCCCTCCATGGGCGCCGGGAGCACCTTCCTGCGAGCGGCCGAGACCACGTTGGCCACGACAGAGTCCCGGATGTCTCTGGGCCGGAAGGCCTCCTCCACGAGACCCAGAGGAGACTCGGCTGCTGCTTCCCAGGGAGCGAGTCTCCTGTGCGCTCCCTCGGGGCCCGCGGCGGGCTGGGCGGGGTAGCGGAGAGCAGGTCGGCGCGCCCAGGCAGGGGTCGCAGAAACGGTGGGTGGGACGGGTCTTCCCGGGAGAGACAGTGAGCGTCCACTCTCCTAGAAGCAAGGACAAGGTTAGGGCATCTTAGTCACTGTAGTTTGTGCTGATGGCTGCTACTCTGGGTCCTGGTGGGCCGTGCCCACGCCCTGTAAGAGCAGGTCCCGCCGAGCCTAGGCAGGGGCCGAGCCGGCTGCCTAGACGGGTGCAGGGCTCTCGGCCGGACCGGACTGAGGCCTCCTGCTCACTCTCCACCCCCAAGCCCTTAGCTCCGAGGCTCCCAAGTCTCTTGGGTGTGACCCCCTGTCATCCCGGGAGCCCCCAGCCTTGACTGCCCCCCACACACTCACATCTGCACGCTCTGCCCACCGCGCCGCGTCCTGTGCTCCCGCACACAATACATGGGACACATCTACCGCCCGGAAGCAGACCGTGACCTCGGGCCCCTTCTGCCCTCAAGTGACTTTAATCTGCACCTCGCCTCAGCCTCCGCCTACAGCTGGGACAGGCGTGAGCGCTGAGACGTGCTATCGCCAATCGCCTGGCGGAGGGCAGGCCTCTCCTCGGGACCTGCCTGTGCTGGGCAGAGGGAGGATGGCGGGGTCTCGTCCCTAAGCACGGGGGTCGCCACGTCTCTGAGGCAGCGCTCCCCGCTGTTACATTGCGTCTTCCTGCCTTTGGTACGGGCCGCATCCCTGGTTTCCTGGACAGTCTGTGTCCCTGAAACATTCCCCGTTGGAAGCGAATGTTCCATCTGTCGAATGTGCACACAGAGGATTTACGAGGGCCTGGGCCCCGCCCGCACTCCTCACGCACTCCGCCCCAGGAGGCGCTGCTGGCCAGGCAGGCGGGAGCAGCAGGTGCCCCCGGGCAGGCGGCACCTCCACGGCCCACAACGTCCCCTCCAGGATGGAAAGCAGTGCCAGGCCGGTGAGTGTGTTCAAATTCCATGAACGGTTTTTGGTTTTGTTTTTATATACATTTTTACTGGTTTCAGAGAGGAAGGGAGAGGGAGAAAGAGAGATAGAAACATCAATGATGAGAGAGAATCATGGATCACCTGCCTCCTGCACGCCCCCTACTGGGGATCGAGCCCTCAACCTGGGCAAGTGCCCTTGACCGGAATCAAACCCGGGACCCTTCAGAACGCAGGTTGACGCTCTATCCACTGAGCCACACCGGCCAGGGCCAGTGAACGGTTTTCACAGCTTTTCTTTCTCAGTCAAGTGATTAAAGTGAACAGCAAACCTGGATCTGACAGAATATCTCTGATTGCAGTGTTTTCTTTCTGCTTTTTCCCGCGGGGCACACAAAGAACGGAGATGGTTCATTCTTGGCTCACGCAGAAGAATGGGGGGGGGGGGGGGTCCGTAGAATGGGTCTGGCTTCTCTCTTCTCAGTCATTAAAACGTCAGTAATAATGGCTGAATCCTAGCAAAAACTTGCCTCCTTATCCTAATGTAATAAGTCTTCTTCCCTCTAGGTCAGGGTGGGCGGGGCCAAGCCTGGTGTCAGTCATCACCGTGGGAGGGCTGCTTGCCACTTCCCATTATCTACGCATTGCCGTCCTCGCTCACTCAGCACACATTTTATTGAGCACCTACTATTCCCAGGCATTCGACTGCGCTCCTGGGAACACAGGGGTGGTTCACTGAGGTCCTCGCCCTCAGGCAGCGCACAACACCCTCCGCGTTAGCTCCGCTGTGGCAGCTTAGCCGAAGGTCATCTAAGGAGGGACTCTCCACCCAGCTGCTCAGGACCGGGAGGGACTGTCTAAACCACGAGACGCATTGGCATTCGGTGTGGCGAAGAGAAATGCAGCCTTCGTCTCTCTCTCGTGGTGTGGGGATGCCTCCCTCGGTCCTTACAACGGACGAGAATAGCATCAATCTACACTGGTCTGTCTCCAGATAGAGCAGCTCAGGTGCTAACACCCCAGAGACTTGAGGGGTGATAATAAAGGGACCCAAGACCTCACAGACACCCAGGTGGGGCTCCTGAGTGCACGGCCAGGGGACTAGCATCGCCGCTCATAGCTGGAGGAAGAGCGGACTACCACTCCCTTTGGGAGGGTTAAGGACCACACGAGTGCACACACTTCAGGGCACCACAGCACCGGATGAGAGACAAGACCTTCCTGTCAGGTCGTTCTCCCACCTGTTTAGTTTCAAAATCATCGGAAGAACGGAAGCTTAGAAATGAGAAAGTTCAACACATGGATGAATGATGTCCTGAAAACAAAGAGCTCAGAGATTTTTTTCAATGAAAGCTGCTTCCCGTGTGAACCCCAAGAACCCACAGCCTTTGGTGTACCAATGGCACTCCAGCCCCCTGAGCCGCCTGGCCAAGGCTCCTTGTCCCTCTAATCCGGCTGCACTGGCCTCTTCCCTGCTGTGATCTCACCAGGCATCCTGGTGCCCCAGGACCTTTGCACCTGCTGACCCTGCTGCCTCCTGGCATCAGCACCCACTACTCCGCTTCCTCTCCTTCAGGCCTGACTCACATCACAGGGTCGCACTTTGGCTAGTCTCTCAAAATTCCCCATCCCCCCTCTCTGCTTGATTTCTCCCCTAGGCTCACGCCTACCTAACAGAATAAATGTTTTATCCAGTTAGTCTGCTTACCTGCTTCTTCCCACTAGAATTTAGCTCCAACTAAGACGTCCTCAGACCTGGCACAGTGCCTGACAAGTAGGTGCTTGGTGTTTGCTGAGGAATGAACGGCCATTTCTCCATCACCAGAACCAGGAGACGGGGCTGGCTTCGCCATGATGTGTGGTCACCCCTGGCGGTGTGGCCCTTCCCCCAGGTCAGTGGCATATGGTGCGGCTCTCATGCAAAGACTCTTGCCCACCCTCACCCCCAACATACATGCACCAAACCACGAGTCAGGCCAAGTTTGGCGAGACAAGTAGGATGGAGCAATACTTGCAAAGGAATCCAGCAGGTAGGAGGTTTTCACGTGGAGGGAAAAGGGTTGCACTTAGGTCTGTGGGACTGCGAGGGGTTTAAACTGCTTTGAGAAAAGTCTTAGACGAATTCTCCACGGAGATTTGGAATTCCCTTACCGAGAGCTTTAAATATCGGGCAAACATTCCCTGGAGGTTATTGAGACATAATCAAGCTGGGAGTCGGGGGTCAGGAGCACTTTTAGATTATTTTTGTTCTCGTCTCTTAATAAAACAGCCTCTACCTCATATTCCCTGGGATCTGCCTTCTGCAAGTGAATCTTACATTTTCCTCCACCACGTGGAGTTTGGGGAAGTCCTGTGGCAGTACTCTTATCTAAGCTGGCACTGCCCAGCTGGTGTGGCTCAGTGGTTGAACATCGACCTATGAACCAGGAGGTCACGGTTCAATTCCTGGTCAGGGCACATGCCTGAGTGCAGGCTCCATCCCCAGCGGGGGATGTGTAAGAGGCAGCCAATCAATGATTCTCTCTCATTGTTGATGCTTCTATCTCTCTCTCCCTCTCCCATCCTCTCTGAAATCAATAAAAATATATTTTAAAAAATAAAATAAAAAAAAACAGGGGACTGTCTGTTTCTGCTGGCCGAGAACCGTGCATTGGAGCAGGACTTCCGAGCCGTATTATCAAGAACAAGGGCATCACGTGAGCGCATGTTGTTTAAACAGCCCTGAGAACGCAGTCCACACGCCAGGCCTGGGGAGAGAGGCGGCTGGTGGCCAGAACTGCTCGTCCCGACTCTGCCACGGACCATGCATCTTAACTCCTGTTAGGTTCGCTTTCAGATTACATTTTCAGTTCTAAATCAATTCACTTTTTAAAAAATATATTTTTATTGCTTTCAGAGAGGGAGGGAGGAAGGGAGAGAGAGAGAGAGAGAGAGAGAGAGAGAGAGAGAAACATTAATGATGAGAGAGAATCACAGATCGGCTGCCTCCTGCACGCCCCCCACTGGGGATCGAGCCTGCAACCCGGGCATGTGCCCTGATGGGGAATCGAACCCTGACCTCCTGTGGTTCAATGGCTCGATGCTCAACCACTGAGCCACACCAGCCGGGCTCAGTTCACTTTTAAAAAGTATTTGAAGGGAGCCCTTTGAGAGAAAGGGTCCGGGTGTGAGAGTGACTGTGGGTATCGCCCTGGCGCTTCTGCGCCCGCCTCAGGGCACCAGGACAGCGATTATTCTGTGGTTGTGAGGAGCCAGAGGCCTGGGAGGACCTTTTGTTCAAGAGGCAGCGCCCAGCGGGCTGCCCACGGGATAAAAATAGGAGGGGCCTTGCTTTGAAGTGGGGTTGGCACCTGGGGTGGCCCAGATAGGAGCCTGGCCACCAGCACCAGGCGGGGGCAGGGCTGGCCAGAAACACGCACTGACCTCACTGCCGCCGGCTCCGGGATGGCCAGACGCAGGCTTCCGCCTGTCCTTGAACCTGCGGCTTTAACATCATAAAAATAACCCAGTCACTTGAGGTCAGGGAGCCGGGTCGAGGGACTCCACATGCATGCGTCTGGGGTCCCTTTCACCTCAGAGACAAGGACAACAGTAAAATGCACAGCTTTTTTACCACCTGCTGGTTCCAGTTCTGAGCACTTCTTCCCTGTTAATCCCCTTAACAACCCTACACTCCCCGTCTCCCACCTAAGGACACTGAGGCGTGGCCCTTACTAATTTACCAGGCCACACAGCGGGGCTGTGTCTGCACAGGGAAACTGAGGAATCGAAGCCATAGAGCAGTGGTTCTCAACCTTCCTAATGCCGCGACCCTTTAATACAGTTCCTCATGTTGTGGTGACCCCCAATTTCATTGCTACAAATTGAACATAATTAAAGCATAGTGATTAATCACAAAAACAATATGTAATTATATATGTGTTTTCCGAGGGTCTTAGGTGACCCCTGTGAAAGGGTCGTTCGACCCCCAAAGGGGTCGCGACCCACAGGTTGAGAACCGCTGCCATCGAGGCTAGAATTGTATGTAAATAGTGTATTTTAAGGCATCAAGTCTGTTAATGGAGAGAAATCCCTCCACAGCCATTTTTACCCTCACAAGGAGGTGCGAGACTCTAAGACACAGCTGCGAGTGGAGTGTTCATG